GAAGAAATCACAAAGGCGTCACCTAACCAATCAATCATCTTTCCCTAAACCCGAGCTACGTGCACGATTTTCAAACCACACCATACCTTCTCCGCCTCTCGGATTTCGGGAGATGTTTCGACATTATCGACTCCTGCGACAACGATCCACATTCCTCCACCATCAGTCTCTCACCATAAGATAAAAAAAGATATGTCTTCCTGACAAAATGCAGAGGTTGCTCCCAAACCTCGACCAAATATGTAAATGTAATTGATGAAATAAAGGACATATCAAGGTGAAGATCCCTAAATTAAAATATAAAGTACCTGCTCCTGGATTATGCTTCTCGCCTCCACGAGTTGAGCTTCAAGTTCAAGCTCTCTCTCTGTTGCTTCCGAAGTAACAGCGGCGCGTTTTTCCGCACCTTGTAATTGGACCATGCATTCCTTTGAAATTATATTCCAAAAGGAAAAAGGGAGAGGTGGTGAGAAGTCAGCCTTTGATCAAGTAGGCATTGTGCTTTTAAAGCTTTTGAGAAGAAGCTACCTTTATCGAAGCCATCTTAGTGCGCAAACTTTCTTCTATTTGATCTCTGGCCATCCGGAAAGGCAGATCAAACACATCCTGTAAATAAATACGACTTGTCATCGCCTATAAATGTGTTAAAATACATAAATAGCCAACAAATCCATCATCTACGATTATCTATACCGTCTTCCCGCCAAGCGGAGATTGTGAGGGATCAGCCTCATGCCTCTCATTAACAGCCAATGATGGGGTAGACGATCCATTTGGTGCGTTTAAGAAATCACGCATATCCGTCTGACAGTGAAACAAAAGAAAAGTTTTGCTTTTCAGCACATCCGTGCTGGTAACCAATGTAAAGAGTAGTATAGTCATTAGCAGTTAATGGCCGGCTGCATAGATAATACCTGCATGGATCGAAGTAATGCTCTTAGATCAGTATTCTCCGCCATTAATTCTTGGTTTTTTGCCTCATAAGCATCCACCTGCGGAGAGCATACTGTTAAACAAAAGCCCATGAATCTCCACATAAACTATATAGAGAGATGAGTGACACATACAATTTTTTTATAGAAATCAGTATCAGCCTTCTTTCCATTCCAAGTTCCACGCTGCCTCCCTTCTTTCTGTCGAATACATCGGAAAGTTCGTTATGAGGAGAGACCTAAAGGCTAAAAAAGCTCATCACTAGGTAGAAGAAATCTGATTCTGGTCCGGCTAATTACCTGTAGCAAATTCATAATTTCCATGCCTGACCTTGATTCTTTCTTCTTCTCCATCAATACTTGATTTAACTTCTCCTGCGAGAGAAACAACAATCAACAGTTTCAGCATTCATGACACAGAATCAAAACATGATACCGAAAAGCTGTAACTAGGGAGAGGAAACACAACCTGCAATTTTATGTACTCCTTTTCCTTTTTCTTCATTTCATGTATCTGTTGAGTCTTAACTTGCTTTTGAAGGATTATATAGATAGAGAGAAGCAGGCAGTGAAATCAGTACATTAACACTGAGAAACCAACCAAAGATAAAACAGATCAAAGTACCAAACCTGGTTACCGATCACCATCCTTTGAAATTCATCCCTCTCCTGATGCAGCTTTTCAATCTGGGCCTTTAGAGCCGCAGTGTTTTTGGCTTCCTGTTCAAGTAGTATGTTACTGATCAAACCTTAACTTATCAAGAGTCTACGGAAAACTATGGTCAGCAGCAGCTGAAACCAGACATGACTTACAGTTCTTGTAATTGTTGCAATTTCCCTGTCTTTCGCTTGGATTTGCGCTTCAAGCCTCTCGACCTTAGCTTCAAATCTAGCTATGTCTGATTGTAGTCTATAAGCAACAGAGAATGGAACACAAATCATTCCACAGAATGGAATACGCAAGTTTAGTCTATGAACAGCAAACCTCAGCATGCACAATGAAATCGATATAGCAGATGATTAATAAGCAACAAGACTGGATAAAAAATCTCAACAAACTTGAACCGTGAATGGCCTCTTAGATTAAATCCATTAATATCAGATTCCATACCACCGTTGATATTAGACATTCAATGTCACTTTGGGTAGAAACCAAAGAGGCAAATCCGACCATAAGTATCAATGGGTCAAAATGCAAGCAAAACACAGAAAATCTCAACAGTAACGTATTGTAAGTCAAGACTCGAAATGAAAAGCGAGTTAGTATTGTAAAGAAAAGCGGCACCTCTGTCTCTGCTCGTTAGCAGATTCTCTAAACTCCGAGTCACGCTGCCGCTGCTGCAGCAACGAGTACATGCAATTGCAGGTCCTCGCGATGGAAACCTAAGCAACAAACGTTGAATTTAGTTCGAAACAGCACTACATTGCGGGAAAAACGACAACGTAGGTATCGAAACCGAACGCACTGGGTCGTTCGAAAACAGATCGAGCGAGGCGGGAAATCCAAAAGTGATCAGCGTCTGGTTCAAGTACTTGGCACAATGCTCCAGGTTATCCACATTGGCGAAGTTATACTCCCTATTTGAAGAAACGACAAAACCCCGAGTTCAACCACAACAAATGCGCAGCACAACCTCTACAGTTGTCGTAAAATCGACAGTAATCGAAGAGAAAAAGAACCCTAGGAGGGGGAGAAGAAGAAGAAGGAAACTAACCCAGTCGCTGAGAAATCGGACTGAGACGACGGCTGTGGAGAAGAAAGCAGAGAATAAAGTGAATTTCGAGAGAGAAACACAAAGACATCGTCAAGATCAAAATCTTACTCTGAGACCAAACTCAGCATCAGTCGCCGGCATCGTCTAGCGGCAAGAGCACCACGGAGGACACAACGCCGGAAAGCAGCGACGAATTCACTCGCTCCTCTCTCTCTCACTCCCTCGCGGATGGATCTAACTAGGGGCAGCGAGAAAATTCAAAAACAAAGGAAGGAGGAAATGTTTTTGGGAAGTCTTAAAAACCTTTTCTTTCTTTTTTGCTTTATAATCCAGATATCAAGATTCAAGAATCAAGATAGTGGTGACTTCAATCCGGTGGGGGAAGGTCCACCGAGTCTTCTCCGTGCTCCACGACCCTGCAAACGTGGCCGACCCCGTCTCGCCGAGGAAAAGCCCAGCGTGAAATGAAACCTTGTCATAATAATCAGCCCAACAATTTTTGTACATCGTATTAATTGCTGCAACAACATTCACCACAGCAAGAGATTTTTTTTGTCGGAAAAGTCTTTGGAGGAAAACATTATGGGCCCACAAGGCCCAAAATAAATGGGCTGAAAACTAAGTGTCTACGAGACGACAAATAATAATAATAATAATAATAATAATAATAATAATAAGGAAAATTGACATTTTCCTACCCCAATTTTACAAAATGTGACATTTTCCTACACGAATTTTTAATTTGATAAAAAACTACACCAAATTATCAAATGTGCCAAATTGATACACGAACTACCCAATTTAACTGCAATTTCCTACACAATCCGAAAACGGTGTTAAGTGTCCGTTAACCACTGACGTGGCACGCCACGTGGCGGCTGACGTGGCACGCCACATAGATTTTTTGCCACATCAACATGTCACGTCATATTTTTAAAAAAAAAATCCGAAAAAATATGAAAAAAAATCGATTTTTTTTTAAAATTTAAAATATATATGCATATACATATATACAAGTATATTTATATATATACACATACATATATAAATACATATACATGTATATATATGTATTCATATCTATGTACAAATACAAATATAAATATATATACTCCTATATATATATATACTTGTATATTTTTTTATTTTGTATGTATGTATATATTTATATATATGTATGTGTATATGTGTATATATAATAAATATGTATTCATATACATGTATATGTATTTATATATATATGTATGTGTGTATATATAAATATACTTGTATGTATGTATATGCATATATATTTGTATAAATGCATGTATATATGTGTATATTTTTATTTGATATATATAGATATATATATACATAGAAGTATTTATGTTTATATTTGTTTGTATGTATATGTATATATATTTGTATAGATGTTTGTATATATATGTGTATGTTTTTTATTTTGTATATATATAGTTATATATTTTTATATAGGAGTATATATATTTATATTTTTATTTGTATATAGATATGAATATATATGAATATATATATATATATATATAT